CTACCGCAATGCTTTCCTGTTCCCCAATGAGCATGTAATTCCCAAAGTTTGTAAACATCTGGAAGATGTGGCGCAGTTAATTCTGAAATTGAAATATACCCATTCATTTTTTTAGTCGCTCATGCAACCTTTTTATCAATTTCAATTATCCAAATGAAATATAAAATGGAATAAAATTTACCTGAAGTACATCCTTCATCAGTTTTGCATGAAAAACCATTGCCAGTAGCCTAAAATTCAACAATTGTAATTTTCTAATTATCAAATAAAAAATCGCAAGAAATACTGAAAGATTTTTGCATCATTTGACCTCAATTGTTTTAAAATCGTTGATTGTATAGGAAAATTTGAGCTCTGATGCTTTTAGATTGCTGTCCTGATCGGTTATATCGTTTGTGATATTTATTGGACTTTGTTTCGTCCATCGCTTGGCTTTATCTGAATTCAGGAATCATTAGATATTTGAAGTTGCGAGCAATCGTAATGAAGGTTAAAATGGAATTCAAGATAAATCTTCTCTGCATGTTCATATGATTAAGTTATACTTAATATTCGTTAGAGAGACCAGCTATTATGACTTTTACTACTGATAATATTATCAACAGAAGCAGCCTCTTATTATACCTCCAGTCGACTTCTTTTTCTTGACTGTTTTAACGGAGCCAATATCCGTCATTGAGATGTTTTTTCGAATCTAAAATTGAAAAAATTCCAGCTATCTTAGTGGCATTTTATTCAGCTAGTTTTGTGATTCAACTCTTTATATTATAGTAAACAACTTTTCATTGAATAACGCTCCGCCAAACTTTACTTTTGAATTTTACTAGCACAATTGTCTACTAATTTCTACTATCATTGTGATTTAAATTTCAACAGTTTTACTGTTAGAGCCATTGGTACTGTAAAAGTACTTTAGTTAATTGAGTTTTCATAAATAAATCGGACGTTATTTCGTTTTTTAAAAATATGACTAATTGAGAAGGAAAGAATAAAGCACGGAATTGGTTTGTAAGCAATTATAGCAATTCTCGCGTGATATTGAAGTTGTTATGGTAATAAAATAGTTTAATATAACTAATTTTCATTTGAAGGTAGAAAAATTTCTCCAACTAATTTTATTTCTTTTTTTTACAAAATTAGAGATTTATTTATTTATTAAACTTTCTTAAGAACTTTTTCTATGTTTTCACTCTCAAAAATTTTTGATTTCCCCAACGATTCTTAAAATCTTTCAATTTTCGCTACTTTTTTCCTGTCGAATTTTCCACAATTTTTAGCTATTTCTGGTTTTTTGAATTTTTATAATTACAAACTTCTGAAATTATGGCTATAATTTCTTCATATCAATGAAAGGTATCTGCACATGGAAAACTTACTAGAAATGAGCATTTAAATAATTTCCAAAAAGAATTGATATACATTTGCGAATCTACTACATTTGCGACAAGTAATAGCAAATCTTCATTTATGCATTTCAAATTAATTTAAAATAAAATAGCCGTTTTCAGAACTGTTTTGGAAACAAATATATAAACCTTATCATAACAAAATTTTCAATTGTTATTTTTAATGGTTTAAAGTTCATTTCGTTTTTAATACTGTTTGATAATCACATTATCGCTAGTCAGTTCGGGAAATTAAATCAAGGCTTGGCTAATGCAAATCAAAAATCTCTGATTTTCAGTAAGTCGTCATCCTTCAACCCGTCTTTTGAGTTTAAGCAATCCTTCATACCAAGCAGTGTGTTAATTTGGAATTCAAAAGTACTAATTCACTATTTTCAATGATGCAGTAATTCTTCGGTCTTATCAACAATTCATTAATTACAGTTTCTTAATTATGGTTTTAATTTTTTTATTTTGTCTGAAGGACAAATTTATGCTAACGAAATTTCAAGAAGTCTGAATCACAGCAACTGTATTGGATTGTATGCTTTAAAGTAATTGTTGTTTGCATAAATTTAGAATAAATCTCCGCACCTATTCTGATTACGATGGAGGACCTTATTTTAGAAAGTAGAATTCGCAATCGGCAAATGTGAAGCGTAATCAAACAAACCATCATTGTGGTACGAATTACAGCTACAGTACGTAACGCCGATGGCAGGCACGTACTTAATTGATCACAGATAAGACAAATAATGTTTTAATATATGGAT